ATTCTAAAATGTCAAGCCACTCACTAGGAAAGTGGCTGTTCACAGAGAAGGAAAGCTAAGTGGCCAATAAACTGAAATTATGCACATTTCCTCTGTCAGGGAAACGCAGGTTAAAACCCCACAAGCGAGCATATGCCTGTTAGACTGACAAATGCTGGAAAGCTGCCAGAGAACCTAGAGCAGTGAGAGAAGGAGGGGGAGCACTGTGGGTGGGGGTGCACACTGGGCTCTTCTGGAAGATATTTGGAAAATGGAGTTCAGAGCACAAGCTACAGCCCTACCCGAGCTCTGGTGCTCCGGTGGCTGTGAGGCCATGCATTCTCCTAAATGCTCCTGTCTGGCCCTGGCCAGTTTGGCTCAGTGGATAGAGTGTCAGCCTGCAGACTGAAGGGGCCCAGGTTCGATTCCAGTCAAGGGCACATGCCAGGTTGTGAGTTCAATCCTCAGTAGGGGACGTGCAGGAGGAAGCCAATAAATGATTCTCTCTTATCATTGATGTTTCTATCTCTCCCTCTCTCTTCCTCTCTGAAATCAATGAAAATATATTTTAAATAAAAAATAAATTATCCTATCTGATTACACCAGGGCTGGTTCTTCCTCGAACCCTGCCCACTCTACTAGCTGTTGGGAACTTAGTCTGAATCCCTCAGGTCAGTTCTCGGTGGCAGGGCAGACGGAGAAGCAATGCGAGGTGGTGGGTGTATAAGAATGAATGTTTATTGCAGAAGCCAGTGGCCACATCGGACATATCTTCATAGGTCTTGTTTATTTTATTGGCCTTTTCTAGGAGATTCTTGAAAAACCTTATAAGTGTGGTTTTGAACTCTATATCCAGTTGCTTTTTGTCCTCCATTTCTTTCGTTTGTGATCTGTTTCCTTGTCTCGGCATTTTTGCTGCTTCCCTGAGTTGGTAGGGTGGGAGGATCAGCTGTATCTATCTATGCCAGGAGACAGCCTTATTCGATAGACTTGCAAAACTGCAAAAGCCTCTGTGCTCAGCTTCGATGGGGCGGAGTTTCAGGGTGGAGCCTACAGCCTTGGCTTCCGGTTAGCCCCACCCTATGAGGTTCCTGAGTCTCAGTGTTCCTCAGTGTCCTTTGGTACTCGCTGCAAGCACCTCTGAGAGAAAAGTGCCCTAGAGTTTCACCCGCTGCCGGACAGTCTAATCTCTCCCCCAACGAGCCCACAACTGGGGTTCAGTGCAGTTGGAAGTGGGCTTAAGAGCAGTCCGGAGCTCTTGTCTCCTTCCTGCTAGGGCAGGGGTCTGCAACCTTTAAGATAGGGGTGTCGAACTCAATCAGAGAAGGGGCCAAAATCTAAAATCCAGCCTAAATCGCGGGCCGAATGGTTTACTGAACAGTCATAAACTGTCATTGTGATGGAAACGCAGCGGAGTGCAGTGATGACAGCGCGGTGCAGGCCACATTGCAAGACCTGGCGGGACGGATTTGGCCCGTGGGCCTTGTGTTTGACACATGTGCTTTAAGACATAAAGAGCCACTTGGACCCATTTCCGAAGGAAAAAAAAACCCTGGGAGCCGCAAAACCATTGCGACATTTAAAACAAATATAACACTGCATATATTGTTTCTTACCTTAATGCTATATACCAGATCGTGCAGTTAGCTGTCAATCTGAAGAAAAAAAGGACTTTTTCACTTAACAATGTAAAATATATTTTTGCAAATTAATAGCTAATTAAAATATTTAATTGACCTGGTTAATGGGATTTTTGCTCCTGAACCTCAGTGCAGTGTCAGCACATCAGGGCTGTAAGACGTTACCTTCATTTTCACACAGGCAAGTTGTTGGAGCCGCAGTGAAGCTTCAAGAGAGCCGCATGCGGCTCTGGAGCCGCAGGTTGCCGACACCTGCGCTAGGGCAATCCAGCGGCTCAATCAGCAGTCAGTCCTCTGGGCACAATGTGTGTGACTCTGGGGCTCTGCCGCTCCCCTGAGCTTCCGCCTTACAGCCCAGATTCTCTCTGTATATGTCTGGGTCCCCAAGGTCTCGCTCAGAACTGGGGTTCAGTGCTGTCGGAACTGGGGTTCAGCACAGTCTGGAGCTTTTATCTCCTTCCTGCTAGGGAACGCCAGCCAAGCACTCAGCCTCCCCCTTCTCTCCAGCTCCATCCTCTCCGCGCATGCAACGTGTCTCCGTACCTTAGGCTTTTACAGCTCCTCTGATTTTCCTTCTGGTTTTCTCTTTCCTTCTCATTGTAGAATTTCCAGTCACTCAACTTTCCTGTAGTTCTGGATAATGTCCACTTTATATTTTAGTTGTATTTTTTGAAATTGTTGTGTGAGGCTGCAGTTAGACAGTTACCTATGCCGCCATCTTGGTTTCTCTTTTGTTTTTATTTGCATTTTCTTGTATGGCTGAAATACTAAGTATCCTATATAATAAAAGCCTAATATGCAAATCGACTGAACGGTGGAACAACTGGTTGCTATGATGCACACTGACCACCAGGGGGCAGATGCTCAACATAGGAGCTGCTCCCTGGTGGTCAGTGCACTTCCACAGGGGGAGCGCCACTCAGCCAGAAGCCGGCTTCGGCTGGTGAGCATAGCGGTGGTGGCTGGAGCCTCTCTCACCTCCACCACAGCACGAAGGAGCAGTGAGCTGTGCGGTAAGGAGCAGGTGGGCAGTAAGGAACAAGGGGTCCCGGGCTGCGAGAGAGGTGTCTGACTGCCAGCTTAGGCCCAAGGCAGACATCCTCCGAGGGGTCCTGGACGGTGAGAGGGCACAGGCCAGGCTGAGGGGACCCCCCGCACCCCAGGGCATGAATTTCGTGCACCGGGCCTCTAGTATTGGATAAATGTTTAAAGGGGAAGACAGAAGAAGAAAAGGACTAGGAGAGTAGAGTGTTTGGAAAGCAGGTCTGGGCCGGTCTCTGCTGTATCTGTACCAGGCCAGGCACGGAGCACATTTGACAGCAGCAGAGTCCGCTTTGTAGTGAACCTTGACATCTGTACATCCTGCTCTGCACCAGAGAGCGCTTTCATCACTGCTCCCACCAGGGCGCCCCATTCCACGTGCCCAAAGGAATGTTTTGATTTGAATTATTTGTCTTGATGACATTCTGTTACAAACCCTACTGAGTCAATTTAGGTTATGATAATAGCTTATTATGGGTAAATGTGCTGCAGAGGCCCAGGCTTGTTGCAGTTGGTCAGACTATGCCAGAGAGTAAAAAGGGGCCTCGGTGCCCTTTGATCTTCTTCGGATGACTGCAGCCAGTCCTCCGTGACTCCTGAAATCCCCCTCTTGCTTGTGGTGCCATTTATGTGGGTTTCAGTGGCCCAGGTGTTTCATTCTCGCAGCCCCGGCTTGTAGGGGTCACACTTCCAAGGCTCAGTCGGGGGTGGACCGTGTGCTCCTGACCATTATCCCCAGCTCGGTTGTCAGGCCTGCGTGTGGGCTGGACCGTCTGCTGCCACAGCCCTCTCCCCTCTCATCTTCAGCCCTAGCATTCCATTGACCACCCCAACCCCAACCCTCAGGCCTCCGTAGTCAGAACATATTGGTTACACAATAGCTGTTTGGAGGCACAGGTGTTAACCTCTGGCAGGTTAGAATTTCTGGAATGAATTTTTACATAGTAGCTTGGGCCAGGTGGGAGGTTTCCTCTGTTAGAATTCACCCCCATTCCTCTTTGCAAAGAGCCGGGGGCTGTGACAGGCTCCCTGTGGTGCAACATCCTAAAAGGATTTTACCATGGAAACACCATGGCCCAGGCCCAGGGGCCTGCGGGGTGGGCCTGGCGCGTTCACGTCCTACTTTCTCAGCAGGCGGGCTGGAAGGGGGGCCTCCCTGGGTCTGGGCTGTGCTAGCTGCCAGGCAGGCAGAGTACCCTGGTAAGCCCAGCGTTCACGGTTTGTCTTGGCTGGTCAACTCGGAGAAACCAAAGTTCTTCACTAAGGCATATGTCTGCACATCCATTGTGCTCTAACAACAAAACCGGGTGTCCAGCACAGCGCCTCGCTCTGCAGACACAGTGTAACCGCCCTGTTGGGGGGGGGGAGGTCACTAGCCAGTCACTCCCAGCCCCATGTTTCTTCATATCCCCTCCCAACACACGCCTGTCCTTCCTGCCACGCTGCCACTTACCGCCCGCCGTTCCTGCTTCTCCTTCAGCTCTCTGTCTTCGAGTTCAGTGACTTACTTCCCTTCATCTAGATTAAGGAAAACAGCTTTCAATTCTTGTGCCATCTCTGCTCCATTACAAATGGCTGTTGGAGCCGGGACCGGTTTGGCTCAATGGATAGAGCGTCGGCTTGGGGACTGAAGGGCCCCGGGTTCGATTCCGGTCAAGGGCATGTACCTTGGTTGCGGGCACATCCCCAATAGGGGGTGTGCAAGAGGCAGCTGATCGATGACTCTCTCTCATTGATGTTTCTAACTCTCTGTCTCTCTCCCTTCCTCTCTGTACAAAAAATCAATAAAATATATTTTAAAAATGTTATAAAAACAAATGGCTGTTGGAGGCTCTGGGTCCATAGGGATTCAGGGCGAGTCTGAGCTCGGCAGGAGAGCGCTGATTGATTAGCAACAGGGTTAGGGCTTGGAGCGCTCCTGTCTGAACTACTCATCAAAGTGTTAAGAAATTAACAGATGTCTTAATACATCAAACTCTGAATGGCCGTTGTCTGTAGATGGTTAGATTACAGGGCACTTCAGTGTTCTTTTGGTAGTGTTCTGTGTTTTCTATATTTTTGACAGCAAACATGTATAACTTTAATAAGTGAGAAAAACACTCTCGGTGTTATTTTGAAAAGAAATGTCTTACCTGAGTGAAACCAGTGATTGGAACGTGCTGTGTAGTGCTTGGTTCTGCTGCTGGGCTGTGGCTGCAGCACACTGGCAGGGAGGGGCGCAGTGCCCCCTGCCTTTTCCTTTCCTCTGTGCAAAAACCCTTTGGCCCTGCCGGGCATCGTTCTTGCTGCGAAGGGGGATGTGAGACTGGCTGACTGGCTTCTCCTCTTCCCATGTGGCAGGCCGAGGTGGTGCGTCTATCTATGGCAAGCAGTTTGAGGATGAACTTCATCCAGAACTGAAATTCACGGGTAAGTATGGAACCTGGCTGGACTGGGGAGAGGGAGGGTGGATTTTAAAGGTTCGTTCTTCTGGCTGTGATTCAAGGAGGAAGTCTGACATGGTGGCACGGTGCCACGTAGCTGCCCAGCCGAGGCGCCAGGGAGAGCCCTGGAGGATTAGAGAGAGTGGCGCCTCTCAGCGTCCTGGGCGACTCCGAGGCTGTCTGAGAGTTCCAGGCTCTGCTTGCTGAGTGTTGCTCTTACACTATGGAAACACAGAAGCTTCCTCAGAGAAGCAGGAGGCTTGCTGAATTTTTATGGAAATGGTAAAAATGTGATTAGTGAGGATCATCATGGACAGAGGCGGGGAGCAGGAGAAGAGGCTGGGGAGCAGGAGGAGAGGCTGGGGGTCAGGAGAAGAGGCTGGGGGGCAGGAGGAGAGGCTGGGGGGCAGGAAGAGAGGCTGGGGGGCAGGAGAAGAGGGTGGGAGCAGGAGGAGAGGCTGGGGAGCAGAAGAAGAGGCTGGGAACAGGAGGAGAGGCTGGGGGGCAGGAGGAGAGGCTGGGAACAGGAGGAGAGGCTGGGGAGCAGGAGAAGAGGCTGGGAGCAGGAGGAGAAGCTGGGAACAGGAGGAGAGGCTGGGAACAGGAGGAGAGGCTGGGAGCAGGAGGAGAGGCTGGGGGGCAGGAGGAGAGGCTGGGAGCAGGAGGAGAGGCTGGGGAGCAGGAGGAGAGGCTGGGAGCAGGAGGAGAGGCTGGGGAGCAGGAGAAGAGGCTGGGAGCAGGAAAAGAGGCTGGGAAGCAGGAGGAGAGGCTGGGGGGCAGGAGGAGAGGCTGGGGGGCAGGAGGAGAGGCTGGGGGGCAGGAGGAGAGGCTGGGAACAGGAGGAGAGGCTGGGGGGCAGGAGGAGAGGCTGGGAGAGGCTGGGGGGCAGGAAGAGAGGCTGGGGGGCAGGAGGAGAGGCTGGGGGGTAGGAGGAGAGGCTGGGGGCAGGAGGAGAGGCTGGGGGGCAGGAGGAGAGGCTGGGGGGTAGGAGGAGAGGCTGGGGGCAGGAGGAGAGGCTGGGGGGCAGGAGGAGAGGCTGGGGGGTAGGAGGAGAGGCTGGGGGGCAGGAGGAGAGGCTGGGGGGCAGGAGGAGAGGTTGGGAAGCAGGAGAAGAGGCTGGGAACAGGAGGAGAGGCTGGGGAGGAGGAGAGGCTGGGGGCAGGAGGAGAGGCTGGGGGCAGGAGGAGAGGCTGGGGGGCAGGAGGAGAGGCTGGGAACAGGAGGAGAGGCTGGGGGGCAGGAGAGGCTGGGGAGCAGGAGGAGAGGCTGGGGGGCAGGAGGAGAGGCTGGGGGGCAGGAGAAGAGGCTGGGAGCAGGAGGAGAGGCTGGGAGCAGGAGGAGAGGCTGGTGGTGCAGTTGATGGCCTCTGTGTGAGGTCAGAGAGCCCGCCGTGGGGAAGGGAGTTGAAGAGAGAGGCCAGAGCGGAGTCTGGCTGCCTTTCATCCCTGTGATGGTGGTGTAGCTCCAGGTCGGATCCAGGCCGGTTATTCACATCGGTCCTCTCTCCCTTTTCCCACAGGGGCTGGAATTCTCGCGATGGCCAATGCAGGGCCAGACACCAACGGCAGCCAGTTCTTCGTGACCCTGGCTCCCACCCAGTGGCTTGATGGCAAACACACCATTTTTGGCCGCGTGTGCCAGGGTATCGGAATGGTGAACCGAGTAGGAATGGTGGAAACAAACTCCCAGGACCGCCCTGTGGACGATGTGAAGATCATCAAGGCCTACCCTTCTGGGTAGTGGTGCTGCTCTCCAGGTCGGAAATGGCCCGGTGGACCGGTTTCCAGGGGACCTAAATGACACCTCTCTGAACCTCATTCTGGCCTTGTGAATCATGCTGACCAGGAGGCTGGGATCTCGGGTGAGTGAGAGGTGGAAGTGTGTTTAATAGGCTTCTTGTCGCCCCTCCCTGGGCCTCGGTTGACAGCATTTGCAGAACTGCCCATACATGATCACAGGCTACTGCTCACTGCAGACGACCCTGTGCGCATCTGCTCGATACTCTGGCAACAAAATGAAGCCAGCTGTGCCATTTCAGTGTCCAACCAAACTTCCTTCTGCGAAGATTTATATTCTGGCCCTCACTACAGTCTTCGGTGGCTGTTGGCCACAGAATTCAAACCAGCAGTGCCTGTCAGCCCTCTGCACTCTGCGCTCCCTTTCCGTCTCCTACATTTGTTCTTCCTCGGAATGTCTGCATCGCTATATATATTTCCCCTCAAAAGCAGAATATCAACACTGCTGTTCCTGACACTTAGACTTCCCACGCAAAGCCACATTGGATGTTTGCCAGAGGAGAAATGTATCCAACAATCAAGTGTCTAAGAAGGTGTCAAGTTGGGAATGCTAATGTGTAATAACCAAGAAATGAATTTACTAAAAGGGAGCAGAAGCGTTGACCATTTTTTGCCCAGGAAGGAGTAGAAATCTGTAATGAGCCTAAGAAAAGACTAAGTTCTCAGAAAGGAGAAGTGCCACTACCTTTTTTAAAAAACCTAAGACTTCAGAGAATAGATTTTATATGCTAAGGGCTTTTTGGTTTTTGTTTTTTAATCTTTCTGTATTTTTTTAGAGGGGTTATGAGAGAAAGGAAGTTAATACCTGTGTGATACATAGAAACTGCCTAAATAAAATGCCATTGATGTTTGAAATTTTTGCTGTGGTCTGATTTTAAATATTGTATGAGGTTCTATGAACCATTTTAACCTCTGAACAATCTCAAGTAGTATTTTAGGGCTCATCTTCAAGATTTCACATCATTGCAGGTTTGTGATCCCCAGGGGACTTCTCCCGTTCAAGAGCAGGTCTGTCTTAAAAGGGCAGAACCGAAGAGAGAGTTAGGGGATCTTGATGAGCATGTCTGAGTGGGGACAGTCCCTGGAGATTACCAGTGGAGGAGCTAAGAGACCTGACTGTCCCTCAGACTGACAGGAGGTGCACCTGCTGTCAGAGGTGGTAGGTGTGGTGGTGGTGACTCAAACTGGGTGCTCCTGGCTCGAAGAAGGGCTTGTAGCTTCAGTGCGTTTCCTTCTCTCTGAATGCTGGAGATGGTGACTTCCTCTCCAGAATGACCAAACAAGGTTCTAGTCCCAAGTGTTCCCCATATCCAACCTTTCCCTGTCCTCTCTCAACAAAAAAAGGAACACCCAATCACAAGCTACGTAAATGACTTTGTAACTTTCCAGAGATGGTTTTTGGGTGCAAAATACTGTTTTGGGAAGTTAAAGATACTGTCTTTCAGCCTGAACTGGGCAGGCATAATTGGGTCCACCTCTAGGAGCAAGGAATAAGACACTCGTCCAGTTACTCCCAGAATTACAGTCCGAAATGCCTGCTTCCACCAGGTCGGAGCGGCAGAAACCAATTACCGCTGCTTTGAGGAGGAGAGAGGGTTGTGAGCACACCTGGGAAGAGAGGGGCACAGGCAGAGCTCCCGTTTCCGGGGTTCGCCATCATGTGAAGTGCTCTCACATGAGTGTGAGCCAGTCTTCACGAAGGAGGCGACCTTAAATTGATTCTGCCGGTAGCCAGAGATGTAGAAATTTCTGTTTCTGTGAAAAGGGAGCTTGTCAAAGGGAATCCTGATTAATCCCCTTGTCCTATGAGTGTCCACACCCTCCCAGGATAAGTACAATTAGGAGAAGTCTCATAAAAGTGGATGTGCTGGGAGGTAGCCCATCTCAGTCACATCTCAGATCAAGACGAGGTAGCTTATGAGAAGGCAAGGGTGGGTTTCTAACTTTTATGGACATAATGAAGATAGGTTGTGTGACTGCGGAGGTAATCGGGGATGGGAGAAATACAGCTTTGGTGGGAAGGGTAGGAGATCTAGACTTGGGAGATTTGGAGAAGGCTTGAAGTTGTGAGTAAACAAGCCAATGAAAGAAGCCTTCATTGTGTCTGTGGGTGGGTAAGGAGTTTGGCACCCAGGCTGTAAAGGCCTGGCCCCAAGGGCCCTGGCCCAGGCCTTCTCACACTGTCCCCCCCTCAGGAACCGCTGGGGAGCCTGCGAGAAAGCTCCCTGGCTTCAGCATCTACCCGGGGAGTCTCATTTCTAGCAGCTCCTGGGAGGTGGTGAGTGCTGGTTCGGACGCCACACTGAGTGGTGAGAGCCTAGGTCCAACATGAAATTGGGGGTGGTTCCTAAGAGTCTGGGGCAATTGGGACCATAACCTGATCCTCCTAGATGAGGGGAGGTCTTGGGAGAAGGAAGAGCTTCGGAGCCAGCGTGTGCTTTTTGGCTCTGGCTGCTACAGTGGAACTCAGGAACAGTGCCTGCCTTCGTTCCACTGTGGTGCACCGAGGACACCACTTCCTGTGTGGGTGCCGCAGGGGTAAGAGGGCACGGTTAGTAGACGTTATATAAACGCAGGGTAGGTATCAGCAATTACGCCGTTGAAGGACCCCTGCGGGGTTCAGATGCCACTGTTCCTTAGTTTCCTCACCCTAAAATGGGAAGATGGTACTAACCTCATCTATGAGCTGGAACAGGGGCCAGCATTTAGGAAACAGCTCTTGTTTTTGTCACCTCTTCATCCCAGCATTAGCAGCCTGACCTTGCACAGCTCTCCCTCTGGGCCCGCCTCTCAGAGCAAAGACCTGCCTCACCCTCCTCGGAGTCCCCTTAGCACGTCACACAGTTGTTCGATGTTATTGCTGAATGAATCAAATGAAAGCTTCTTCTCTGGCAGGAAGAGATTGCGATCCACCTGCAGAAATAGCTTTACCCCGTCTCCAAACCCAGGCTCAGCCCTCTGGAAGTCCTCAGCCTGATTTACTTTTGGATTGTGTCTCCAGAATATGACATGTGGAAGGATTCCCATCCCCAATCTGAGCCGTCCCCTGGCCTCTTCTGGCACTACGTTCTTGTCACGCGTGGAGGAGGAAGCAATGAAAAGCACATGTTTTGAAGTGGCGGAGTTCACCACTGCCTCCGAATCGCTCCGTGGCCTCAGAGCCCGTTGCTGTAGAGCAGACTGTAATTCTTCAGGTAAATACCGGGACAGGCTGCCTTCTAGCAACATTCTTCGACAGATAAGAAGCACGTGCAGGGGGAGAGAACGAGTTAGGGTGTCATTCCAGGCTGGCTTGGTCTGACTTAGAAGTTGGGTCCTTTGTTCTTCCTGACGGGTAATTCCTGATCTCTGACTGCATCTGAAACACAGACGGCCAGTTTGAGGCAAGGTTTGTGGACAGAGAGATGTGAGGGTTTTGTGTGATACTGGGCACATCACTTTACCTCTGGAACCCGTTCATCAAGCAAAGACCAGAACTAGGCCCTTCTGAACCCTAACTTTCTCAATCTAGGTCATTCTGAGAAGATTCCTTCAGCTGCCAAGTTTCCATGGAGGATGGTATTTTGGAAGTTGGCCACTAGAGGCCACTGTGAATACAGTTTGGCCTTACAGCTTCTTCAAAAGGCAGAAGTCTACCCTGGCCTTCCATGATGCTAAGCCAGGCCTTCCTTCCTGGGAGGCAGAAAACCAGCCACTCAGACTGCGGGGCCAGAATTGAGATGTCCGCCCGGCCCTGAGCAGGCAGAGGAGGTGCTCCCTGCCAGGAGGCCGGCCAGCGCCCCTTCCCGGGCACTGGATCGGGTGGAGGAGAAGCCTCGTGCATGGCGGGGTGGGTGAGCCTGATTCTCTAGCATGCCTCAGCATAAGGGGACAATTACTCCAACTGCTTCATATTCCACTTCACAGTGAATTCCTTTATCAACAACTAGAGGCCGATGCATGAGATTTGTATAAGAGCAGGCCTTCCTTCCCCGACTGCCGGCAGGGGCTTTCCTCTCACACCCGGGGACCGGGCCTCCCTCGCAGCCCCGACTTCGTCAGGTCTAATTAGCATGGAATCAGGAACAGTTAGCCAGAAGGAAACTTCTAAGAAAACGGGTTATTGTTGCCCTTTCTCTGTCCCATGGTTCATGGAACCTTCTTAAATATTTTTTTACTCTTTTTTTTAAATATATTTTATTGATTTTTTTACAGAGAGGAAGGGAGAGAGATAGAGAGCTAGAAACGCCGATGAGAGAGAAACATCGACCAGCTGCCTCCTGCACACTCCCTACCAGGGATGTGCCCGCAACCAGTGTACATGCCCCTGACCGGAATCGAACCCGGGATCTTTCAGTCCGCAGACCGACGCTCTACCGCTGAGCCAAACCGGTTTCGGCTATTTTTTTTTTTTTATTTTTTTTTTTACTCTTAATATTCCAATCCTTCTGAGGTTGGCAGGTGAGCAAACTGAGGACCAAAAGCAAGTAGCACAGAGCCTTGTACAGAGTGGTGAGTGGGTGAATACCGGCCAGGGCTGCTTAGCTAGTAAAGGCAGCCCAAGTTCAGCCCCTGAATCTCCTTTGATATACGGAGGAAAACGTGCAGAGGAAACATGATCTGCTGGCAGGGCCCTGCCTCGCGGGCTGGGCTGGCAGACCGACTGCTCTGTCCCAGGAGTCCCCAGGCCAAGCGGCGGGAGGCCCCAGCCTATGCCGTTCCTAGCAGAGCCTGCACCAGGCCTGCCCTGGCCCCGCAGGAGGGAAGGAGGGGGGAAGGAGCACAAATGACCCTAATCAGTGTGTTTATTGGATCATAACTATTAGCCTCACCACTCAGCTAATCGCTCAGAAATCACTTTCCTCTCCGGGAGGGTCTGGCCGCAGCTCCGTTAAAAGCCGGTACCTGCGAGGAAGCTGCACACAGCGGCGGTGCGGGAGGGAGAAGCGATATTTCTGCTTCCTCATTACGCTGACGGGGAAAATGGCCATTTCACATTCACCGTCTAAGAAAAGCCCCCGAGGGAAAGGGAATCCGAGGCTCACAATAGTCTTTTGGCAACATTCCGCTCTAAGAGAAAATGCTTTCCTTTGTGACTCCCTTTTTGAAAGCATTTGTGATGCTATTAAAGATAAAACAAGAAAAGGGAAGGAACGGGAGATTGGGGACATGCCAGGTGTGGCGTATTCCACTTAGTCCTCGGAAGGCCTGTGAGCAGGCCGCACAGCGACCGTTTCGTGAAGGCTCCTCGGGGCAGCGCTGAGCGTGAGCTCGCCACCTGCTGTCACCCTCCGTCATTCCCTAAACTCCCACAGGGGGCTTCCTCACCTTTCTTTGCTCCCCGCCCCAGCCCAGAAAATATGGAAACTGCTTTTCAAGCCAGATCACTGTTTGACCTTCACAACTTTCCCAAGTCTCCCTTCTTCCATCTATAGATTGAGGGGCACAGACAAGAGGGATCCCTCTGGTCTAAACTTGGACCATTTCCTGCCTGGCCTGTATGGCTCAGTGGTCGGCCTATGAACCAGGAGGTCACAGTTCAATTCCGGGGTCAGGGCATGTGCTTGGGCTGGTTCCAACTGTGCAGGAAGCAGCTGACCAATGGTTCTCTCTCATTGCTGAGGGTCCTGTCTTTCTCTCCCTCTCCCTTCTTCTCTGAAAGCAATAAAAATACATATTTAAAATATGTATATTTAAACTTGGGTAATTTCCTGATGGTATTTTTCTTCTAGGTAACTCCCAGCACATCTTCATCTCATACCACTTGGAGGGGATGGTGGTATGGGTAGTATTGTCCCCGTTTTTTAAAGCTGGGGGAACCTGAGGAGCAGGGATACAATGAGGGGTTCAAGGTCACAACATGAGTGGAAAGACAG